CTTATGCAAAATGGAAAAGTGATTGTGTATGCATCAAGACAATTGAAGACTCATGAAGTAAATTACCCTACTCATGACTAAGAACTAGCTGCAATCATTTTTTGCGCTAAAGATTTGGAGCCACTACTTGTATGGAGTGAAATGTAGGATTTACACAGACCATAAGAGTTTAAAATACATTTTCACTCAGAGGGATTTAAACTCACGCCAAAGGAGATGGTTAATATATAAGATGGATTATGACTTAGACATACAATATCATGAGGGGAAAGCAAATGTAGTCGCAGATGCTCTAAGTCGTAAAACCAGTCATGGACTGAATACTTTGATAGTGGCTGATGAGCTATGTAGGGAGATGAGGAAAATGAATCTAGAAGTAGTAAAATGGGGAGTGCCAGCAGGCATACTTGCGGATCTAAGTATTCAACCAACAATATTTGATGAGATAAGGGAAAATCAAGCAGGAGATTAAAGTTGGATAGGATTCATGAGAAAATAAAGCAAGGAAAAGCTACGGATTTCATGATTCATGAAGATGGGAGTTTAAGGTACAAAGGCCGTTGGTGTGTACCACAAAAATGTGAGGAGGTAAAGAGAAAGTTGATGGAAGAGGGTCACAATACACCATACTCTGTACACCAAGGAGGGGACAAGAAATAAAGGATTTGAAAAAGGTGTATTGGTGGCCCAGAATGAAGAATGAAGTTGCGGAATTTGTGGCAAAGTGTCTAACTTGTCAGAAAGTGAAGATAGAACACAAAAGACAGCAAGGAACTGTGCAATCATTGGAAATTCCGGGATGGAAATGGGATTGTATTTCAATGAACTTTGTGACTTGCCTCCCAAAGTCAAAGAGTGGAAATGACACCATTTGGGTAGTGGTGGATAGACTTACAAAATCTGCAGTGTTTATACCAATGAAGGAGACCTGGAAGATGGAAAAACTTGCAAAATCTTACATCAAAAATGTGGTGAGATAACATGGAGTTCCAAAAGATATTATGTCTGACAGAGATTCTAGGTTTCTTTCAAGGTTCTGGAAGAGTATGCAGGAAAACTTTGGTACAACACTTAAGATGAGTACAACATTTGACCCCGCCACAGATGGGCAAACTAAGAGAACTATTCAAACCTTGGAAGACATGTTTAGGGCTTGTGTTATAGATTTCCAAGGGGGATGTGAAGATAGCTTGGACTTAATTGAATTTTCCTATAATTATAGCTACCATGCAAGCATTGGCATGGCTCCATTTGAGGCATTATATGGAAGGAAGTGTCGCAGTCCAATATGTTGGAACAACATAAGTGAAACAATGATTTAAGGGCCTTAAATGACCGAGGATAAAGTTAAAAAGGTAAAGGAGATTCAAGCTAAAATTCAAGCGACGCAAGATCGCCTAAAGAGCTACGCGGATTTGAAGCGTAAGGAGGAGGAATTTGAGGTCGGTGAAAAAGTATTGTTAAAGGTGTCACCAATGAAAGGTGTAATGAGAATTGGAAAGAAAGGAAAGCTTAGCCCAAATTATATTGGTCCATATGAGGTACTGCAAAGGATAGGCACTACTACATTTTTGACCAAATGCAACGGCCTAATAAAGTCTAATGCAACAGTATTCTAATTGCCGTTGCAATAGAGTAGGCTATTGCCACGGATTTAACACTAATGTTCTTAGAGGTATAGCTATTGCCACGGCTGTAAAGAACTGTTGCAATAGCCCAGCTATTTTAACAAAAATGAGAGCTATTGCAACGACATGTGTTGTATCATGAAAATATAGAATGAAGCGTGCATTTCTTCCCTCTATTTTTTTCACCAAATATTTTGAACAACACGTGTAAGAATTTTCTTCCCTCTATTCTCAATTCTCACGTACAGAAGTACATACAGTACCTTTCAATACCCCTTTTTCTCCATTTTCCCCATTGTCAATTTCTCACCATTTTCCCCATCTTCTCAGATCTCATAACTTCAATTCTCCAAAAATACTTCAAATTTTGAGACGAAAATCACGAAAAAAAATACTCCAAAATTGTAAGAGGAAAATAAGCAAAGAAATCACGAAGGCGGCACTCCGACGGTGGTGGCTGAAGGCGGTGGTGGCTGATAGCGGCACAGGCGATCTCAATTTAAACTTGCATGTCCCTTCCTTGAGTTGATTGCTCGAAATTCTCTTCAAGGTATTCAACGAATTATCGTTTTAGGTTAATTAAATTTGAAGTTTTTGCTTTTGTGTTTGAAAATTTGTATTTGATGCCATGGAAGATGAAGTTTCTGCTCTAGTAACTCTTAGAATTAAACGGCTAATGGATTTTGTTTAGCAAAATTGATTTTTTTATTTTATACTTTTTTTGAAACCTAGAAGTACTGAATGTTGATTGTATTGGAGTAGTCTAATGGGGTTTTTTGGGGGAATTTCATATAAATGGATATTAAGAAGATATAATGATTTGGGGTGGCTGATTTGGTTAATGGGGTAAGACTTTATTGATCTAGAAGTACTGAATTTTTCGGGGTGCTGGTTGTTCGTGTAAGTTGTACCCTGTTGTAAGTACAATAGGATGCATTGTTCAGTAAATGCCCGACTTGCATGGTTGTTGTTGCTGTTGCACAACCCCAACAGGGTATTCAAGTACGCATGTCAAGGTCTCTTGTGGTTTTCTGATACATTGCATCAAAATTGAAGTCAAGAGCTCATATATATTACAGTCATGGCAGTACTCTTTTTTGTTGGGGGGGTGGATTGAGGGACTGAAAAAGCATATAATAACATCTCACTCAAGTTTTCAGACACCAATTCACTGTAGCAGTCTTAGACAATTTATTAGTCACTACTGATGTAAATCAAAAGAATTCAGAGAATGCACGAGTAATTATTACCATATATCACTCTTGTTTGGCCCTGACATGAAGTGCTTGGTTATCTATAATCTATATGCTATTAGATTGCTCAAAATAAATTAAGACAACTAATTTTCATACTGAAACTGAAGTTAACTAGCTACTTAGACTCTCAAGTAACGAGTTTTTGCCTTTTTCATACGAACCCCTTAAAGACTCATTTCTAGTTGCTCTTCTAGAGATTGCAGCTCCTCTATGTAGTACCATAACGTACCCACCTGTTCAACAGTTGCACGATCTGATTTCTCCGTGTTCTTTGTTTTACCAATAGCCATCCCCCGTACACTCTCACGAATTGCAGTAGTGACTGAGTTGGACATCCCAACATTTGTCCTGCCCTCCCATTCCTGTAAAAACAAAGAAACATAAATTAAAATACTCAAACGTCATTGAAGCAATGAACTTAGGATGACCACAAAGTCTACAATAATAAATCCCCCTACCATTCTCCATCACTGTTACAGGAGGATTTTAATTAAAACTGATTTTGGCAGGTTAGTTTGTTAAGCTTGTAAATTTTGCAATTTTGTCATTTTTCAGTTAGTTAGACGTGGGAATCTTTTCTGTTAGAGTTTGTGTAGCTGTAATGAAGTGTGCTTAGGCATATTAATACTGCTTGAGTTGTAATTGAAGGTTAAGAAATGAATTACATTGAGCCTATCCTTCTCTCTACCTCTTCTTTCTTCTCCCTCTCTCTCTATTCTGTTACTCCCCTTTTTCCTGCTCTTTCTATTTCTCAAATTCTGGAAACCTATTGAGTTTTGCAAATCAGAGCTCAGATAAGGATTCCTCCCTCATCAGAATGGAAATGAAGTCCCTAAATAAGGGTATATGAACTCTTTGTTTTAGCTACTCTTTTATATATTAATTGAACTACTACACCAAATCATAATTACCCAAATGCCTCTTAAGTTTTCTATTTAAGGTAGACAGTTTTTGTAAATATGGTACTGAGTATCATGTACGCAGTTGCATAATTCAAATTATGGGTTGCCTTCTTAATTCTTACCTGCTAATAAAATAAAATAAATTAATGAATCATAATATAGTACTGAGTATCATGTACGCAGTTGCATGCATCACCTAGCGCCAATAACATACAATATTAGATTTAGACACTTAGCCCCAATAAACCTCATGAGCAGAACATAAGATTAATAATTAGATTCATAATTACATGTGTAAATTTTAGTATGGGCTGTTATATGTCGTGGGCCATGATATTGACTTCAACTGATAAGTATACTCTCTTTGTTTTCTGTAAGCCCCTTTGTGTATGTGTGGGGGGGCTTTTGGACAATCTTAAAAACTAATAGTTCTTTTTGTGGGTTACAATGACTAGTCGGAGAATTGAGCTTCTATGATGCTGCTTTGCTTAATTGATTCCTTTTGTCTCTGATGATTGAGTTCTATTTTTTCAGTTTGAAATATCTACTTCTTCATGTACAGCTCTTTGCTTAGTCGTATGAGTGTATGACATCAAGCTGCCTCTATTCTTGTTATCAAAGTTTTAAGAGTATTGTTTAGAATTGTGGGATTTTGATGTCAAGTTTCTGCATGGTATGATGTTGTTCCTGTGACGTGATGATACTATAAAAACTATTTTTATGTAAACAATGCGTTAGCTTCATCAATGCTGCGTGAAAGCAAACTTCACCAAATAACGGTATTGAATCGATTATAAAGTTTCTTTTGATTTTTGGTGGCTCTTTTGGTCACTGTAAATATTTTGTCATGATTCTTGCTTTACTGTAGACACCTTACCTTATTTCACAATAGGATGTGAAGGCACTTTATATGCTGGCTGAATCTTATATTCTAGTTCTTGTTTAGGGTAAAAATACCCTAAGACACGTGGCCCAATAAAGGCCTGCCACGTGTCAAGCTTGCAACGGTCAGCAAAGGCCCAATCCCTTTGTGACACGTGTCATTGTACCCTAATTGAGGTATAGTTCTCCCCTACTATAAATAGTAAGGGCAGACCTCATTAATGGGGATCGAATCATTTTCCCACAAACCAACAAAACACAAATCCCCTTGCAAACGCTCTCAAATCGAGAAGCATTTATTGTCTTATTTCCACATTTAGAAAGAGACTAACACTAGTAGAAAAATAGAAAAAGCCACCCCACTTTTGCCACCGGTTCTTAAAAACCGGTGTGAAAAATAATGGGGTTGAATTTGGATAATCACTTTTGCCACCGGTACCTGAAAAACCGGTGCCTAATTCTAATTTTTTTTTGAAAAAAAAAGGAGGAAAACAGATTTTCCACCGGTTCAAACCAAACCGGTGGGGAAAGGTGCTTTTACCAGCGGTTCGAACCGGTGGCATTTAAAAAAAAAAAACAAACCCGCCTAATTATACTACCTTCTTTTTCCTTCGTTCAGCACTATTCCATTCATTCGCATTCTCCATATCCCCTGCTTTCCCATGCTGTTCTTCTCGCCTCCATTACTGCAACTTCATCAATTATTCTTCCTCTCTCGTTCTCGCCTACATACGACCCTCACCATTGTTCTCGTCCTTCCTGTCGTCCTCCATTGAAGCACATTCTGGGTTTCTCACCTCCATTGCCGCGCAACTCTTCTCTTTCTCTCCATAACTCTCCTCCATTAAAGCGCATTCTGTCGAGCATTCTTACCTCCATTGAAGCGCATTCTGACTTTCCAACTGCTTTGAGGTATTATTGATTAATTTCGCAATCTAGGGTTAGTCGTTGATTTAGGGTTTTATGTTCTTTGTGGTTTGCTTTAATTAATTTCTGTTCTTTATGTTCAACCTTTGTGTAATGCATCCATATAACAACAATGACAAAAACCAATCAACTGCTTGTTCCTTTGTTGGATGGAAGTTGCCAGCTTACATGTCTGAAAAATTAAATATAAGAATTAATTCAGAAAATCAGAACCAAAACGCAAAAGGTGCATATATTGGATCACTTGGAATGTTGGAGTTATTGTGATGTATGTAAGGCTGTAAGTGTGGTTAGGGTCATAAAACCTTGAATAAATATCACTAATTACAAATAAATGACTGACAAAATCTCTCTCCAAATATACTTCTCTTAATTAAGCCCAGGTCTTTACTGAGTGTTGCGCTCAACACCAGAATGCTTTAGTAGGTTGTTGTTACGTATGTACTTGAGGTCCAAATTACATTCTACTGAGTAAGGCAGGTCTCAATCACGCTTTATCTAGCTCGCTTTGTTTCTGCAGACCTTGTAGAGCGTAGTCAGATCAATAGAACCACTATTCTGAATTGAAATTAGACCTGCTGCTACTGAGAGTACTTCTAAGAAGTTTCTAAGCTTTGTTACTAAGTGTTTCCCTAGTATGGTGACTTAGTTATGTGGAATCACCTTACATCCAGGAACAAAGATTTCCTAGGTTGTTGACCACCAAGCAGCTTCAAGATTTAAAGAGCCAAAGATGTCCACTTGTTGGTATTGCCAATATCACATGTGACATAGGAGGATCCATTGAGTTTGTTAACCAAGCCACCACCATTTACTCACCTTTTTTTAGGTAATATGATCAAAGTTTCTTTTTACAATTTAGGAAATGCAAACATGTAACTTGGTTGCCTCATTTCTTAGTTCACCCTAGTTCTCTTCATCTGTACAGCTGACAAGATGATTAGTTTCTAGGAGATTATTGTATCAAACTGTAAAAAAACTCTGGCAAAATCAGTAGAAATTCAAATAAACCTGGAGGCCATATAGGATTGAAATCCTTGGTGTAGTGTAAATAGTAAGTAGGCTGTAGATTAGACTTGTAGATGTAGACTTCCCTATATCAGTTGACTGAAATTGGGCTCATGTTATAAAATTTATTGTCTGCAGGTTTGATCCACTGACAGAATCATACCATTATGACATGGAGGGTACTGGTGTAATATGCTCAGCGGTCGACATCCTCCCTACTGAGTTTGCCAAAGAGGTATGCTATATGTTGTAAAGATAGATTTTTTTTTTGGCATTTTATAGCTTGTTTAAGAGATGTTGATGTTGGGTTATTCTGGGTTGGAAAATGGTTATTCTGGGTTATTTTGGCATTTTATAGCTTGTTTAAGAGAATCTGCTTCAGAGTCAGCTTCTGAATCTTTTGTGTCTTCTGTCAATAGATTATCTGTTACCCTATTTTACATGGTTCCCCTTTTCCAAATTTGGGTTACATCATAATATGATATGAACATCTTTTTTTCTTCTTTGTTTTCATATTTTGAAGTGAATTGTCCCAGAATCTGCCAGAACATCATAATATATCAACTCACTCTTTTCAACAGTAATATAAACAGTAGCATTATTTTATAGGCAATTGAGAGTGACGTGTGATTAAGGAGAGAGACCGAAACAGGTGATTGATGACAAGAGTTAAAGAGTGAGTGAAAATGAGGACCTGGTTAGTTGGTTTGTTGCAGACTTGAGGTGGCTGTGTGGCATTTCTGCATCAATGAGGTGGTTATTTGAGACTGATCACAGTGGAGGGGCTTTGGTGATGGCCATGGAAGGTGGTGGGATGAGCTCAATGGGGGTGAGGCGTAAAAAACAAAAAAGGAAGTTTAAAAGTCACTAGGAACCAATTTAGGAATATACCCACCAAAGGATCGATTGTTATCAGTTAACTAAAAGGCAGGACAGATTTGAAATTACCAAAGGTAGAATTATTAATATCAAACTCCTTATATTTTAAAAGTCACTAGGAACCAATAAGGCCTATATCACTACATGTATGCCCATTTTCTATATTTTTTATTATCAAAATAGCTAATTCTTCCTCTTAACATGTCATTATTACCTAGTTATAGGCATCTTAGGCTTGAAATCACATTAAAAGAGCAAGTCAAGTGTTTTAAGACGCAATTTCATTCAAAATGGCCGAAATAAGCCCTATATCACTACATGTATGCCTATTTTCTATATTTTTGATCAAAATAGCTAATTCTTCCTCTTCACATGTCATTTTTACCTAGTTAGAGGCAGATAAGGCTTGAAATCACATTAAAAGAGCATTTGAATGGTTTTGGGACGCAATTGCATTCAAAATGGTCGAAATAAGGCCTATATCACTACATGTATGCCTATTTTCTATGTTTTTGATCAAAATAGCTCATTCTTCCTCTTAACATGTCATTATTACCTATTTAGAGGCATCTAAGGCTTGAAATCACATTAAAAGAGCAAGTCAAGTGTTTTAAGACGCATTTTCAACCTAAATAGCCCGAATAAAGCCTATATCACTACTTGTATGCCTATTTTCTATATTTTTGATCAAATTAGCTCATTCTTCCTCTTAACATGTCATTATTACCTAGTTAGAGGCATCTAAGGCTTGAAATCACATTAAAAGAGCATTTGAATGGTTTTGGGACGCAATTTCATTCAAAATGGCCGAAATAAGGCCTATATCACTACTTGTATGCCTATTTTCTATATTTTTGATCAAAATAGCTCTATCTTCCTCTTAAAATTTCATTTTTACTTATTTAGAGACAGCTAAGGCTTGAAATCACATTAAAAGAGCATTTGAATGGTTTTGGGACGCAATTTCAATCAAAATGGCCGAAATAAGGCCTATATCACTACATGTATGCCTATTTTCTATATTTTTGATCAAAATGGCTCATTCTTCCTCTTAACATGTCATTTTTACCTAGTTAGAGGCATCTAAGGCTTGAAATCACATTAAAAGAGCATTTGATGATTTTGGGACGCAATTTCATTCAAAATGGCCGAAATACGGCCTATATCACTACATGTATGCCTATTTTCTATATTTTTGATTAAAATGGCTCATTCTTCCTCTTAACATGTCATTATTACCTAGTTAGAGGCAGCTAAGGCTTGAAATCACATTAAAAGAGCAAGTCAAGTGTTTTAAGACGCATTTTCAACCTAAATGGCCCGAATAAAGCCTATATCACTACTTGTTTGCCTATTTTCTATATTTTTGATCAAATTAGCTCATTCTTCCTCTTAACATGTCATTATTACCTAGTTAGAGGCACCTAAGGCTTGAAATCACATTAAAAGAGCAAGTCAAGTGTTTTAAGACGCAATTTCATTCAAAATGGCCGAAATAAGCCCTATATCACTACATGTATGCCTATTTTCTATATTTTTTATAAAAATAGCTAATTCTTCCTCTTAACATGTCATTTTTACCTAGTTAGAGGCAGATAAGGCTTGAAATCACATTAAAAGAGCATTTGAATGGTTTTGGGACGCAATTTCATTCAAAATGGCCGAAATAAGGCCTATATCACTACATGTATGCCTATTTTCTATGTTTTTGATCAAAATAGCTCATTATTCCTCTTAACATGTCATTATTACCTAGTTAGAGGCATCTAAGGCTTGAAATAACATTAAAAGAGCAAGTCAAGTGTTTTAAGACACAATTTCATTCAAAATGGCCGAAATAAGGCCTATATCACTATATGTATGCGTTATTCTTTAGCAATGTATGTAGGTATTAATTACTTACTAACTTATGTTTTTTATTTTTAATTTTTTTATAGATTCATATGTGAATTGAAGCACAAGTTTAGCTTGAAGACTACAAATTTAGCTTAATTGTGGTATGAATTAAGAACTTAGTCTATGTTTCTTTTTCTTGATTCATGATGAAAGTTTTCTCATGCCATTACAACTTGTGTATTGTTTAATGACAAATAAATACCATAATATATAAATTCTTGCATCATCATATGCCTAGATACCCGTTCAAGGCTTTCTCATTAGGAGAAAGTCTTGAATAGTCCCCGGTTGGGACTGTTCTTGAACGTTTGCTCTCACTTAGGTGGTGAATGTATGTCTTCTTTTTTCGATTTTAAGGAACATCTTGGCTTAACATTTTCTCGATCACCATGTTCTCTGGGTACATATGTGGGTAAGTTATTACCTACATCGTGTACTTGGAGAACTGGGGGGAAATGCTGCCGGATTTTCCTTAAAATTGGAAAGTCGACATACATTCACTAGTGAGAGTAAACGTTCAAGGATGGGTTAGGTTGGAGCGATAAGGACCCTTTGGAAGCATATATGCATTATTGTATCTATATGAATGTTATATGCATGGTGTGTGTTTGAATTTGATTTACATATATAATAGATGTAGCAATTATACATTATTCGTAATATGTTGCCATGTTTAGAGGCAATTTACTTAATGGAGAAGGGTCGTGGCTGGATGTATGGTAGACGTGATACATTGGAATTCTTTGACGGGGTTCAAGAGTTTTGTGAGAGGGCTTCATCTTATCAACGCAGAATGGGTTTCGATTGCCTCTATTGTCCTTGTGTTGATTGTAATAATGTGAAGGTGGTTACTAGTGTTGATATCATTAGAGATCATGTAGTTTGTCGTGGGTTTAGGCTTAAATACCATGTGTGGATTTGGCACGGTGAAGAAGGAGAGTACACTGGGAATGTTATTGGGAATGATGTGTGTGATGATAGAAGCAATGATATTCGTGTGGACGAGGAATACAAGAATGATGAATTTATTGTTGATAATGGTGATGAGGATGGATTTGATGATGATCAGGTGGATGAGGTGGAGGATGAAGGGGAGAATGAAATGATGCGTGGTGTTGAAGGTGACGTGTTTGAGTCGCTATCGGAGGCTTCTAAAAAGCCTTTGTATCCTAGGTGCAAAAAATACTCCAAACTATCAGCTGTTGCGCACAACAAGATAACGGGGTTGATTGCGGACTATACGTGATGAGATTCATGTTGGACATAATGACTCATTGCACAGACTTACAACAGCTTGATGAGGTATGCCATTGACTTAGTTAATTTGCTTTTGTGGTGTGTTTTGATAAGAGAAAACCCTTGAAACTGCGTCTTAAAACCCTTTAATTCCTCTTTTAATGTGGTTTCAAGCCTTAGCTGCCTCTAACTAAGTAAAAATGACATATTAAGAGGAAGAATGAGCTATTTTGATCAAAAACATAGAAAATAGGCATACATGTAGTGATATTGGCCTTATTTCGGCCATTTTGAATGAAATTGCGTCCCAAAACCATTCAAATGCTCTATTAATGTTATTTCAAGCCTTAGATGCCTCTAACTAGGTAATAATGACATGTTAAGAGTAAGAATGAGCTATTTTGATCAAAAACATAGAAAATAGGCATACATATAGTGATATATACCTTATTTCAGCCATTTTGAATGAAATTGCGTGATAAAACACTTGACTTGCTCTTTTAATGTGATTTCAAGCCTTAGCTGCCTCAAACTAGGTAAACATGACATGTTAAGAGGAAGAATGAGCCATTTTGATCAAAAATATAGAAAATACGCATACATGTAGTGATATAGGCCTTATTTCGGCCATTTTGAATGAAATTGCGTCCCAAAACCATTCAAATGCTCTTTTAATGTGATTTCAAGCCTTAGATGCCTCTAACTAGATAAAAATGACATTTTAAGAGGAATAACGAGCTATTTTGATCAAAAACATAGAAAATAGGCATACATGTAGTGATATAGGCCTTATTTCGGCCAGTTTGAATGAAATTGCATCTTAAAACACTTGACTTGCTCTTTTAATGTGATTTCAAGCCTTAGATGCCTCTAACTAGGTAATAATGACATGTTAAGAGGAAGAATGACCAATTTTGATTAAAAATATAGAAAATAGGCATACAAGTAGTGATATAGGCTTTATTCAGGTCATTTTGGTTGAAAATGCGTCTTAAAACACTTGACTTGCTCTTTTAATGTGATTTCAAGCCTTAGCTGCCTCTAAATAGGTAATAATGACATGTTAATAGGAAGAATGAGCCATTATGATCGAAAATATAGAAAATAGGCATACATGTAGTGATATAGGCTTTATTTCGGCCACTTTGAATAAAATTGCGTCCCAAAACCATTCAATTGCTCTTTTAATGTGATTTCAAGCCTTAGCTGCCTCTAACTAAGTAAAAATGACATGATAAGAGGAAGAATGAGCTATTTTGATCAAAAATATAGAAAATAGGCATACAAGTAGTGATATAGGCCTTATTTCGGCCATTTTGAATGAAATTGCGTCCCAAAACCATTCAAATTCTCTTTTAATGTGATTTCAAGCCTTAGATGCCTCTAACTAGATAAAAATGACATATTAAGAGGAATAACGAGGAATTTTGATAAAAAAAAACATAGAAAATAGGCATACATGTAGTGATATAGGCCTTATTTCGGCCAGTTTGAATGAAATTGCGTCTTAAAACACTTGACTTGCTCTTTTAATATGATTTTAAGCCTTAGCTGCCTCTAACTAGGTAATAATGAAATGTTAAGAGGAAGAATCATCAATTTTGATTAAAAATATAGAAAATAGGCATACAAGTAGTGATATAGGCTTTATTCAGGTCATTTAGGTTGAAAATGCGTCTTAAAACAATTGACTTGCTTTTTAAATGTGATTTCAAGCCTTAGCTGCTTCGAACTAGGTAATAATGACATTTTAATAGGAAGAATGAGCCATTTTGATCAAAAATATAGAAAATAGGCATACATGTGGTGATATAGGCCTTATTTCGGCCACTTTGAATGAAATTGCGTCCCAAAACCATTCAATTGCTCTTTTAATGTGATTTCAAGCCTTAGCTGCCTCTAACTAAGTAAAAATGACATGTTTAGAGGAAGAATGAGCTATTTTGATCAAAAATATAAAAAATAGGCATACAAGTAGTGATATAGGCCTTATTTCGGTCATTTTGAATGAAATTGCGTCTCAAAACCATTCAAATGCTCTTTTAATGTGATTTCAAGCCTTAGATGCCTCTAACTAGGTAAAAATGACATATTAAGAGGAATAACGAGCTATTTTGAAAAAAAAACATAGAAAATAAGCATACATGTAGTGATATAGGCCTTATTTCGGCCAGTTTGAATGAAATTGCGTCTTAAAACACTTGACTTGCTCTTTTAATGTGATTTCAAGCCTTATCTGCCTCTAAGTAGGTACTAATGACATGTTAAGAGGAAGAATGAGCCATTTTGATCAAAAATATAGAAAATAGGCATACAAGTAGTGATGTAGGCTTTATTCGGGCCATTTAGGATGAAAATGCGGCTTAAAACATTTGACTTGCTCTTTTAATGTGAATTCAAACCTTAGATGCCTCTAACTAGGTAATAATGACATGTTAAGAGGAAGAATGAGCCATTTTGATCAAAAATATAGAAAATAGGCGTACATGTAGTGATATAGGCCTTATTTCGGCCATTGTGAATGAAATTGCGTCCCAAAACCATTCAAATGCTCTTTTAATGTGATTTAAAGCCTTAGATTCCTCTAACTAAGTAAAAATGATATGTTAAGAGGAAGAATGAGCTATGTTGATCAAAAATATAGAAAATAGGCATACAAGTAGTGATATAGGCCTTATTTCGGCCATTTTGAATGAAATTGCGTCCCAAAACCATTCAAATGCTCTTTTAATGTGATTTCAAGCCTTAGATGCCTCTAACTAGGTAAAAATGACATATTCTTTTGATAAAAAACATAGAAAATAGGCATACATGTAGTGATATAGGCCTTATTTCGGCCAGTTTGAATGAAATTGCGTCTTAAAACACTTGACTTGCTCTTTTAATGTGATTTCAAGCCTTAGTTGCCTCTAACTAGGTAATAATGACATGTTAAGAGGAAGAATGATCCATTTTGATTAAAAATATAGAAAATAGGCATACAAGTAGTGATATAGGCTTTATTCAGGTCATTTAGGTTGAAAATGCGTCTTAAAACACTTGACTTGCTCTTTTAATGTGATTTCAAGCCTTAGCTGCCTCTAACTAAGTAATAATGACATGTTAATAGGAAAAATGAGCCATTTTGATCAAAAATATAGAAAATAGGCATACATGTAGTGATATAGGCTTTATTTCGGCCACTTTGAATGAAATTGCGTCCCAAAACCATTCAATTGCTCTTTTAATGTGATTTCAAGCCTTAGCTGCCTCTAACTAAGTGAAAATGACATGTTAAGAGGAAGAATGAGCTATTATGATAAAAAAATATAGAAAATAGGCATACAAGTAGTGATATAGGCCTTATTTCGGCCATTTTGAATGAAATTGCGTCCCAAAATCATTCAAATGCTCTTTTAATGTGATTTCAAGCCTTAGATGCCTCTAACTAGTTAAAAATGACATATTAAGAGGAATAACGAGCTATTTTGATAAAAAAAACATAGAAAATAGGCATACATGTAGTGATATAAGCCTTATTTCGGCCAGTTTGAATGAAATTGCGTCTTAAAACACTTGACTTGCTCTTTTAATGTGATTTCAAGCCTTAGCTGCCTCTAACTAGGTAATAATGACATGTTAAGAGGAAGAATGAGCCCTTTTGATTAAAAATATAGAAAATAGGCATACAAGTAGTGATATAGGCTTTATTCAGGTCATTTAGGTTGAAAATGCGTCTTAAAACAATTGACATGCTCTTTTAATGTGACTTCAAGCCTTATCTGCCTCGAACTAGGTAATAATGACATGTTAATAGGAAGAATGAGTCATTTTGATCAAAAATATAGAAAATAGGCATACATGTAGTGATATAGGCCTTATTTCGGCCACTTTGAATGAAATTGCGTCCCAAAACCATTCAATTGCTCTTTTAATGTGATTTCAAGCCTTAGCTGCCTCTAACTACGTAAAAATGACATGTTAAGAGGAAGAATGAGCTATTTTGATCAAAAATATAGAAAATAGGCATACAAGTAGTGATATAGGCCTTATTTCGGCCATTTTGAATGTAATTGCGTCCCAAAACCATTCAAATGCTCTTTTAATGTGATTTCAAGCCTTAGATGCCTCTAACTAGGTAAAAATGACATATTAAGAGGAATAATGAGCTATTTTGATAAAAAAACATAGAAAATAGGCATACATGTAGTGATATAGGCCTTATTTCGGCCATTGTGAATGAAATTGCGTCCCAAAACCATTCAAATGCTCTTTTAATGTGATTTCAAGCCTTAGCTGCCTCTAAATAAGTAAAAATAACATGTTAAGAGGAAGAATGAGCTATTTTGATCAAAAATATAGAAAATAGGCATACAAGTAGTGATATAGGCCTTATTTCGGCCATTTTGAATGAAATTGTGTCCCAAAACCATTCAAATGCTCTTTTAATGTGATTTCAAAACTTAGGTGCCTCTAACTAGGTAGTAATGACATGTTAAGAGGAAGAATGAGCTAATTTGATCAAAAATATAGAAAATAGGCATACAAGTAGTGATATAGGCCTTATTCGGGCCCTTTTGGTTGAAAATGCGTCTTAAAATACTTGACTTGTTCTTTTAATGTGATTTCAAGCTTTAGCTGCCTCTAACTAGGTAATATTGACATGTTATGAGGAAGAATGATCTAATTTGATTATAAATGTAGAAAATAGGTGAAGTAGTAGTCATATAGGCCTATGTATTAAATTTTTGCCTAACTTAAATTGTAAATGTATTTTTACATACATAACCTAAGTAATTAATTCTAGCTAACATCATTTTTGTTTAACCAAGTTTTGCAAGGTGCAGAAAGGAGGTCCATTGATGAGCAAAGAGCTGAATGAAGTTCGAGATATTTTAGCGTCTTTCATTACATATAATTTAATTTGAACTTGTAAACTTGTACATTAATTATTAGTATAGTTTGTAAATATAACACCTTTTAATTAATGAGTTGTAAAAGCTATATGACATTTCATTGTATCGCATTTACGGTTATTAATTAATATTTATGTATTGTTGTCATTATTCCAATGTAATAATTATCATATTATTAGTATTTTTAATAATAATAATAATAATACGGGTAATTATTTGGGGTATTATTACTGTTATTATAATATATTTTAATGGCAGATTTAATACAGGATGTGCAGGTTTTTAATTATTTTTAATTATAAATTTTTTTTATAAAAAAAACAGGTTTTGCCACCGGTTTTTTCAATGAACCGGCGCCCAAAATTAATTTAAAAACTGGCGCGCTTACTTTTGCCACCGGTTCACTGTGAAAACCGGTGGGGAATGTTTAAGTTTAGCCAGCGGTTCAATTGAAAACCGGTGGCAAAAGTGCTTAGCTAAAACCCAAATCAGCAGCTTTTGCCACCGGTTCACTTCAAAACCGGTGGGGAAAGTACTTTTTGCCACCGGTTTTAAACCGGTGGCTTATCTTTGACGGTTTTCCACCCCCCAAATCAAGAACGGTTCAAAACCGGTGGGGAATGGGGGGTTTGAACCGGTGGGGATTGGGGTTTTTCGTCTAGTGTAACTTAATCTTCGGAGGCGGAACACCCCAGCCCCAGCCGGAGTGTTCCGTTATTTGTGCAGGTACAGGCGAAGGAAGGAGCATACTAGGAAATTGTAACTCTTCCGTAGGACACATAAAAAACCCCCAAACATCTGGCGTCGTCTGTGCGAAGAGTACTTTCTAGATGACTTCAGAACCGGTACAGCCGGGTAAAAGTAGTCAACCTGCAGGTGAGGCTGAGGTCCACTCGGACCAAGACACAGCCGACAATCATGAGATTAAAACCTACACAGCAGCCGATGGTTCCTTCAGAACCAAGCACACTCGTTCCAAAGACAAGAGGGAACGAGCAGAGCAGCAGGCAGGCCCAAATCATCCTACCAGGGGACCGCTTGGGTTGACTCCTGCTTCAGAGAGAGCCACCCCAGTCTCCAGAGATGAACTCATGAACATGATGATGAGCTTCAAAGGAGAGATCAAAGGCCTTCTGGATAATATAGCCGGCCCCCGTAAGGGTCAGGCGGAAGAAAGGTGTCTTGGGAAAAAGACGGCCAAAACAGTAAAGGGTAGAGCATCTACCCCGCATCCAAAGTCAAATATGCCGGCTAGGCCCTTTGATTTCTCAAAGATGCACACTCCCATAGATGGAGTCAGAAAGCCCGTCCGGCACATTCAGCCGGATGGAACCAAGAAAGTCTATTCTGATGCCCGGACGCTCATTCAGGATAAAAAGACTCAACAACGCTCCGAGTCAGCATCAACGTCAACCTTTCGAGACAGCTTCAATGCCACATCAGGGAGGCACTCGAGAACAAACAATGACAGTCGGACGAGCGAAGTTTCCGCTCGATCCGGCCCTCATATGATCCAACCGGCATTGCATGGAACACCATACACGCCTTTTGGATCTCCAGCCGGGTCTTTTCGGGGGGCAGCAGCAGCCGCCTCTCCAGCCTATGGACTGGCAGCTCCGGCTGCTCAACCTTGGGGAACAGCCAACGGCGTTTTCCAGGGAAATCACTGAGATGACCCAGCCGGCTAAGATCAAAAACGTGTTGGTAGGTGCCTATGACGGTACCACCAACCCGGAAGATCACCTCATGGCATACACCAACCTGATGTATTTGCAGGGTTTGGATGACGCCTCATGGTGCAGGTGCTTCCCGGCAACGTTGAAAGCGATTGCTCAACGTTGGTTTGGTAACCTCCCAGCCGGATGCATCAATAATTTCAGGACCTTGGCCTACTGGTTTACGTCCAACTTTTCTATGAACATCCCTGCCAAGAAAACGAGCCTTGATCTAGGGGCAATCCAGCAGGGAGATAAAGAGGGGCTCCGGTCATATGTCAGGCGGTTTAACCTGATGAGGATCCAAATCCATGGATTGTCTGATGACGTTGCCTATACTGATTTCTTTAAAGGCTTAAAAGACGGATCAACTTTTAAGTTTGACTTGGTTAGGAAGAAGGTCTCTACTCTTCACGAGGCGCTCATGAAGGCGGAGGCCTACATTCAGGCAATGGAATTGTGTGCTGTGAAACTTCCAACGATTTACAAAAGATCCGATAAAAAAGAGAATCGGCCTACCCAGTCGGCCAAAAAGGAAGACAAGAGAAAGGGGGTATGGGCAGCAGACTCATCCGGACAACCTTTCCAGAAAAGAAAGAGGTCGGATCCGTATGTGCCAAAGTACGAGTTCAACAAGGATTGTGCCTCCATTCTCAACGAAGTAAAGGACCGGTTGAATCTTGAAAAACCGGCTCCTATGAAGAGTCCCTTAAGCGCCCGGGATAAGAGTAAATATTGCCTTTTTCATGAGGAAATTGGCCATGACACTGAGGGTTGCTTTAGCCTCAAGCGGCTCTTTGACCGGCTGGCTGATGAGGGGGCTCTCAAATCATACCTTTCCAAGTCAAAGGGTGCTCCCAAACAAGTTAAAGGACCACCCCCAAAGAAGCCGGCTACTCAATCGGATACGGATGAGGAACCCATCCTGACCATAGCCGGTGGATTTGCGGGAGGTGGGCCTACCATCCGGGACACAAAAGATAACATTCGGAAACTGGTCAACTCAGTGGATGAGGGCCAGTCGTCTGAATATTCATTTCCGGAAGTTAACATCTCCGAGAAAGATAGAGGGGAGGTCAGGCGGCCTCATGATGACCCAATAGTCATCGAGTGCAAAATCGCCAATCAAAGAGTTAGCCGGATCTTGATTGATACCGGGAGCTCATCCGACCTCATAAGCTACCGGTGCTTGGAAAAACTCAAGTATAAGCCCAGTAGCATGCATCCGGCCTCATACCCTCTTGTAGGTTTTGGGGGAGGAGTAGTACATCCGGTGGGCATGATTGATCTACCCATCCTGTTCGGAGAAAAGGGAAGGGGCCGGCACATGGTTGTCAAGTTTCTTGTTGTAGGAGAGCTGGCTGCCTATAACTTGATTATTGGCCGCCCAACCCTTAACATCTCAAAGGCTGTCATCATCCCATCTCTAATGTTGATTAAGTTTGAAAGGGATGATGGCACAGTCGGTTCCTTGAGTGGGGACCAAAAGATGGCGAGAGAGTGTTACCTCTCGGACATCAAACCAACGCTTGACACAGACGGTCAAGAAAAAGAAATAGTTGAACTTGACGACTGTGATCAAAGCTTACCGGCTACTAAGCCAGCCGGTAAAAAGAGGAAGGCGGACCAACTGGCGCCTGTAAAGGAGAAACAATATCAATCACTGTCCGGGGAGAGGCCAGACGTCCTTCGCCCCCAGCCGGCTGGAGAAATAATTGACATTGTCCTTGAAGACAGCCGGCCAGACAGAACCGTCAAGATTGGAACGGTTGCGTTTGAAAGTTTAGGATCAGATTTGCTCCTTTTGCTAAAGGAGTTCAAAGATGTGTTTGCCTTTGAAGTAGAAGAGATGCCGGGTGTAAGTCCGGATCTTGCTGTTCATAAACTCGTTGTGGATCCTAAGAAGAAGCCGGTTAGGCAAAAGAAAAGGAACCATGGCGAGGAAAGGTCCCAGGCGGCAGCAACCGAGGTAAAAAAAATCTTAGATGATGGGTTCATCCGGCAATGTTACTACCCTGATTGGGTAGCCAATGTCGTCCTTGTGAAAAAGCAGAATGGAACCTGGCGGATGTGTGTAGATTACACGGACTTGAACAGAGCTTGTCCAAAAGATAGCTACCTGATAGGCATGTCGCGTACCTAGCAAAAATAACCTAACAAGACCACTACTATGTAGATAGGCAAGTAAGGATCGAATCCCAAGAGACTATGGTTTAACTAATTAAACAGACTCAAGTTAATACTAAGCAAGTATCAAACAATGGTGGAATAAACTAAAAACTAATGTATGGAAAACTTAGAATAAATCAAACGAATATAATAAATTAATAAACTAAAACATCCAAGATCAAGCATCACCACGAATACAATTAATGCAATAGTCGTTCTACCCCTAACATATAATTCAATTGATAAACAAGGAAAAGCAATCCCTAAATGGTACCAATGGTCTCTCCCGAGTTATCAATGGCTTCCCTAATCACAATCAAGCCTACTTCCGTGGAATCATGTAAATTGAAGACCTTGAGCACATTACTTTAACTTCCTAATAATCCATTCAACTACTCTCGTGATGAACTTCAAATCCTTAATTGATTTATTCAAACCCGTTAAAACCCAACTCTCGTTGCAATTAAAATAATGATTAATAACAATACTAATTATCCCTAATCTAGTATTGTCATGAGCACAATCAATTAAGCATATCAATTGCAATTATCATTAGAGAATTTAAAGAATTAAATCATGCATTAACCATATTCGGGTTCCGCTAGGTCTTGGAATAGAGAAACTACTCACACATATTCATGAATTCAAGAATGATATTCAATAAAGAAAACATAATTAACAATAAAAAAATAAGAGAACTGAGAGAAGAAATCAATACTTGGAATTAATTATGAAATCTTGAATCTTGAAAGCAAAGCCCTATGAAAATAATAATAGAAGAACGTAATACCAAAAACTCTAAATTAATGTATGTAAAGTGATCAATAAAAAAAACTATCTAAAACCTATTTTTAAGCTAGGAAAATAGTAATAGACTCCTCTTAGGATTTGGTTTCTTAAAACCCCAAAATTAGGCCCAATTTCGTCACTAGATCAGGGGGCCGCAGCTAGGCTGCGGTGTAGGATCGCGAGCCGCAGGCAGGCTGCGGAGTAGTCTGTTTCGTGTTGCATCCTTAAGCGTTTGTGAAGTACACCGCAAGTGAGCTGCGGTATGGATCTGTAAACCGCGAGCAAGCTGCGGAGTGAACTGTCCTCTATTGCTTATTGCTCTTTTGTGAAGTAAGTCGCAAGTGAGCTGCGGTAAAATCTCTAAATTACCTCGTCAATCCTGAAATACATCAAAAACAACGAAGCTACCCAAGAAAGCATGAAATCATCAAGACTAAACCAAATCAAACACGAATAAACCAAAAGCTCCTAAACTAAACTCAAAAAGAGGACCAAAAAGACTCCAAAAATATGCACAAAACACGACTTATC